AAGGACTTAGGTTCAACACACAAATTCACCTGAGTGCATCCCATGAGCGCAAGATATTAAAGAGAAAGACACTGCAGTCTTAGGACAGGGAAAGCTCTGGTACTTTTTTCCTTCCAGAAAAGGAGATGCAGCACCAACACAGCTGCTGTAGGAACCTGCAGCATTTTTATATCTGTCATCTGCACCTGGACCATGGCAATAAAAAATATTCCATGAACAAAGGATGTTGGAAAAAGGAAAAGAGAAAACAACAAGGTCACCACTCAGGTTCAACAGGAAAGACCAGAGTTCCATGACCGCACATGAAAGGAGCCTGCAAACTTCCCAGCGACAGAAGAGGAGAGAAGGCGAAAGCGGCAGCAGCTCCCCGTGCCGGACCCCACCGGGGCAGCGCTTCCCATGCCGCGGCACGGCCGCAGCTCCGCCTCAGGAGCGCTGCGTGCAGAAGGCAGCGCTGCACAGGGACGGGGATGCTCCGCACCCGTCCGTCACCGCCGGGGGACCTCGGACAGCTGGGGACAGACGGGGCAGGTGTGTGGCAGGGGCCAGGCGAGGACCCGCAGCACGCAGGGCCCCCAGCCCCCCGCTGCCCTCTCTCCACAGCCCAAGGGAGGCCGGCGAGGCGCGGGTGAAGGCGCCGGCGGGGCCCTTCGCTGAGGCAGCCGCTCCCAGCGCCCCGGCTGCGGGTCCCGGCCGGGCACAGCCGGCAGCTGCCCCGGCGAGGGGACCGGCCCCGGAGCACCGCACCCCCGCCCCGCACTCGCCGCACGGCGCTTACCTGGCCCGGCCCGGCGGGAGCGAGCGGCACCTGCGGCCGGCCCGGCGGGAGCGGAGCCGCCGCTGGCGCCGGGGCGGCCCCGGCCGGAAATGAACGGGGCCGCGGGCGGGCGGCCGGGCCGAACCCGGCGGGCGGGCGGCAGCGGGAGCCGGGCCGGGCCCTCGGGATGGGCGGCCCTGCCCCCGCCCCGAGCACCCCCGAGGGCCGGGAGAGCCCTCAGCCCACACCCAGCCCCGCTGGCGGCCACTCCCCCGGCGGAGCCGCCGGCACCGCCCGGGCCGCTTTATGGAAGAGGGATCCATGTCACTGATTAACAGCACCGAGCTGGCGGGTTTGTTATTTTCCAGTCATTAGAGGTTAAGAAAGCTGTTTGCTTTGCCAGCTGCATCCTATAACGCCAATTCCAGCACTTGTCCCCGTCACATGACAGCACATAACAAAGTCTCTAGGAAAAGTTTCCGGCTGTCAAAAGCCGGGACAGAGGAGCCCGAGCCCTGGAGCGTCCCCAGAGCCGCGCAGCCCCAGGCCCCAGCCCGTGTGAGGCTCCTGTCCCTGCTCCGGGCGATCGTGCCCCGATCCCTGGGCTGGCTCCCAGGAAAGCCCCGGCCTTCCCACAACCCGAGAGCCGGTGGTTTCCATGCACTCCAGCTGGAATAACCGGGGCACGCCTCGGTATCTGTCCTAACAGCAGCCGCTACCATCTATTTCACCTGCGAGGAAACAGACGCTCAGGAAAGCCAGGTCAGTTTCCTCAAGAGGTGGTCCCGTAATGGAGAAGTTTCAGATTTGTGAATAACGTTTTACTAACGCTTTCACAGGGGCCAAACACCTGCTATTCCCACAAGAAGGTGCTTAATTCCTCTTGGAAACCCAGGTCTGCCACAGATCTCCAATAAACAGAGGCTAATAGCACTTGAGCCACTTAGTCTTGAGTAAATCAGAACTGCACCAAAATGCACCTCTAGATCAATGGCCCCTTTATTTGTGTACTGGATAAATGTTGACCCCAAAAGGAACTTGAATGGGCTTGGGCCTAGCAAAACAAACCCACATCATACAGCACATCCAAAAAATATTTAATAAGCCTTAAAACAGCAAGAGAAGCAGCCGACCAAAGCCAGGTAAATACATTGAGAAAGTTTTTATTAGAAGATATAGTTCTGCCAAAATAAATAGTTACATTTTCTTCAGCAAAACATTAGAAAATAGCAACAGGAAGGGAAAAAAAAGCATCAACAATTTAATACTGAACTTTAAAGTGACTGTGAACACTACTTAGTGACATTGCCACATAAATACATAACTTGTTATGCTATTGCTGGTCTAGTTGCTGCTCTGACACCAGTCATTTCACAGGACCTCCACATGTGTTGTGTGCTTCAGGGTCTTCTCAAACTCAGTGGCAGCAGTGGAGTAGTCCCAGGACACACAAAGCTCAAAGAGCTGCTTTAGATGCTGTTTTCAAGAACAAGAGAAAACCCCAGAAGAGAGAGGTATTTATTTCAGTTACATTTCTAAGTCCTCTGTTTGGAACTGGAGTTTTGTGCTCCCTGTGCAGGAGGGCTGATGTGGATCCAAAGAGTGAGGTGGATGCAGTTGGGGGCTGTCCTAATGGAGCTGCCTGCAGGTTAGAAAAGGAGCAATGTCCCACCAGCAGGCAAGGGGAAGGAGGGAGAGGAGAGGGGATCGAGTCCTGCTGCACTCAGACACCCGAGGGACAGGAGGCCAGGGCCCACTGTAAAGGCACAGCGTGTTTGGCACAAACAAACTGGCTGACGTGGCAGCCAGGTGAGGTGGTCCATTCTCTCACTGATTTAAGGAGAAGACAGAAACAAAGCCTGAGAAAACTCTTAGCAAGGTCCTCTGACTTTGGTGGCCCTGCCACCCACCACATCTGGCATATATTTAACAGAAATTTACTATAGTTTTATTCCCCTAAGGAATAAACACACAGTTTCAGGTATTTCTCCCACAGCCGCTTTGGCAAAAGTGAGAGCTCTTTTCTCCAAGGAAGTAGTGAATTACTAGATCATTTTTATTAATTTTTAAATTAATAAATTTTAAATTAATAAAACCACTGGGGAATATAAAATATACTAGGGCCACCCCAGTGCTGGCAGACAGCAGATTCTCTTTTATTCTCTGAGTGTTGCAGGTACACAGCCTTCCAAGGAGCCATGAGAAAACAATTCCTAGGTTCTATACATAGTGGTCAGTATTTTCTCCTATCCCTTGAAAATCAGCTTGCAACAGTATTAGCAGTAGGGCAGGCAGCAAACCAAACCAATTACACTACACACTAATTGTGGGTTACAGAGCATGCCATAGGCACAGACTGTTGTACACAAAACAACTCTACAGTGTGGTGCAGGTTAGGGGCTGGTTATGTGCACAAGGTCACCATCAGCCTTGTTAAAAGCAGCAATTAATAAGACAGGAAGGAGGAAAAATTAGTGGATTCCTGAATGCACAGACCCTTTATGCAAAACAGTGGATGGGGCAAGGGTTGGGACTCCTGCAGGAATCCAGTGAATGCTGTAAGGATCATTGGACATGGACTACAAGATGAATTTTTGTCCAGGAACCTGACCTCCCACTCACCATACACTGGAGAGCCCTGCTGGGCTGCCCAGTCACACCATTTGGAGCAGAAAGGACTGACTGCCATAGATGACCTTGCTCCTATGGACCTGGCAAGTGAGGGTTAATCAGCAATGGCTGCCCAGAAGATAACTTTGTACACCATGAGGTACACACAGAACACGGGGCTGAACAGTTCCAGTGAGCACTATTGTAATAAACCCCTCCATATCCAACCCAGAGCCTACCACAAGGTTTCCAGAGATTTCAAAGAGTGGGGTCTCATCTAGACAAGGCAGCACTGCATAACAAAAATCTATTCACAAGCTGACACAGCCCTTTTTCTACATTAGTGGGAAAGGTGATCTTCCCTAATTCCTTCATCCTTTGCAATCTGTGATAGATGAGCAGCAAGAATTTCAAGCAATGGGTGAAACTTTTCAAAAGGAGAATGAGGCTAGTGTCAGGTATTTTTTACAGATCTGCAGTTCCTTTATCTGAGCTCAAATTTATAAAGCCAACAGGCTATCACACAATAGCCCTTGTAACACGTGGGAAATTAAAACAGGCAAAGAAAGGGTTAATACAGAGTGGTACTTTCCCAGTATCCTTCACACCCTGCAAATTAGCATAGGAAAACCAGGAATTTCCTTGTGAAGAGTTAGACCTTTATTTTTAAAGCCAGGCCTTGATTTGTGGTTATAGTTTGAAGTGTACAAAAGTTTCTCATGGAGAAGTTATTATACTAAATTAAACTACAGATGAGGTGAAATAGAGAACAAAACTCAGGCCTTTTACCAGGCACAGCTGTTGGTCTCCTCAAATGCATGAACCAAAATCCCCAAACCTTCTGGATCAGAGCACTGGAAGACAGTGGCATCAGCCTAGTCAGCACCAGACCAGTCAGTTCTGATGCAAAAGGCAAGGGATAAGGGTGCCAAGCTGCAACTTCTTAGCACTCTCTGTTGTCAGGAGTATTTTGTTTCATAGTTTAGTGGTTTACATAATCATTTAGTGGTTTTGCCAGTCCAGGAAGAAGGGATAAAAAAATACTTGTATCATTTTCTCCACCCATATATTAACTCAAAAAAAAAAAAAAAAAAAAAAAAAAAAAAAAAAAAAAAAAAGGCAGAGTCAAAAGGGCAGCAGCTTCTAAACACGAGATTTTGCTTATGCAGTTTTGCCTCTCTCAGATGTTTTGCTTCTGGACAAAATGCCTTAATTTCTTGCCACTAAATATCTCTGTGTTCTTGCCAATTGACAAGAGATATATATTTAGCAATCTAAGTAGCTGTGCATGTGCCATTCCCCCTAAGAAGGTAGTCCAAAACAGTGGAAGAAAAGAAATCCCATACCAACCCACTAAATGAACACCTTTTCTCAGTTTCAATTTTCATCAAATTAATCTTGCTCCCTCTAAGTGACAGTAGTTTGTTGCTGGTTCACTTCCACTAGCATCTAGCATTTTCTTCTGTGGGCTTTAAACAATCACAAGATCAACTTGTTTGGTAATTGAACATTCTATCCTGATTTCAGAACCCTCCAATTTCTTCCTCTTCCTGTAGTGACTTCCCTGTTCCCTAACTGACTTAATTATGCAAAGCTTAAGATTAAATCTGACTGCGTTAAGTGCAGGCCTGCTTTTGTGTTACATAGTTTCATCCAGCAAGGGCAGTGGGGTGACAACCAAGTCACAAGTTCATTCTTGCACTGCCTCCTGGGCAGAGGCCCGCTCCATTGCCTCCCAGCTTGGCACAGCCACTGCAGCAGAGCCCTGATGCTTATCCATCTCCACACAAACACCAAACCCGTGCCCAGTGCACAGCTGTGCTCGTAGGAAACAGCACCCACCCCATCACCCACACTGCTCGTGAAGTCTCACTACTTTCTCCAGTGATTAGCACAACTTCTGGGTTTATTTTCCCTTTCTAAATCTAAGGTGCAAAATTACTATTAAAAATTACTATTCCATGTATAGGCTACATAATCAGTTCGATACCCTGTCCTGCTCCCCAGCAAAGACAGCATAGGTTTGCTTTGGCCATTGCACACTGTTTGTGCTAGGAGAGGTAGAAGACGCCTCATGTAGCAAGACAAGCAGCAGAAAAAGATACCAGGAGCTGGGTTTGTCAGAGCCTAAGTCCATGCAATCCCCACAGGAAGCCACGTCTCACCCTGTGAAGAACACAGGGTTCATACCCCTCACACAAGCCATGACCACTGCGGAGAAGGCAGCGCCTCGAGGCAGAGTCCTGCTCTGCTACAGCTCTGGATTTTAAGGGGCAAGACCAAGAGGAGCCAATTCCAAGGGGCTGCATGTGCCTCAACAGTCTTCACTTCTCATGCTCCTGCTATTGCTAGCTACAGAGCAGGACCTGTGAGCCACAACACTAGACAGGCAAGCTGGGATGCTGGTGTAGCTACAAGCCTAAATCCTTCTCACTCCAAAGCCTCAACAACCAAATTTTCTGAGCAAAAGAGATAAAAGCCTCAGTTTGGCAGGGGATCCATTCTGCATCACCCACTCAGAATTTGCCTCAGCTGTACAGCCCCTTAAGGAGCAAAGCCCAACTGACCCCTGTCAGAGGCAGCCACCTCCCCAGCACTCACTGTGACACTCCACCACAAGCCTCTCAAAAATAACATGCCCTGCACAATTCTCATCTTCCTACAACCACTTCATATTGCTTCAGCTGCTAAATTGATCCTGAGATAAGCAGGCTGAGCTTTTTTTCAGGGCAACCCCACACCAATTCCATTCTCAGAGTGAGGAACAGGGCCTCAAATTCAACATGTTTCCCTGGAAAAAAAAATCTGTCAAAATTACTTCTTTAAATAAACTCAATCACTTAACATTCAGAGTTCAAGTCACAGTAGCTCCCTGAGGACCCCAATCAAAAAGGGAGAGATGAGGACAACATGAATCAGGGAAAACAGATAACTTTTCTACACTTCTGCAGTTCCAGTGTAGTCTGCTGCAGGACCAGCTCCGGCTTCTGGTGCGGATGCAATTAAGGGAGAGAGGAAAGGACATGGTTTCAGCAAAGAAGAAAGTCAGGAGGACATTTGAAAGCCATGACAAAAATCGGTTTGGCAAGAGGCTACATCATCTTTCAGTAGCACGAAGAACTAAAGGTTGTCAGATGATTTAAGGAGAGGAATCAAGTAACATGCTCTGAAAAACCAAGGGAGGTAAAAGCTGTATGAACTTGAGAGCGTCATCTACATCCTGTTGTTTGGCGGGGAAAAAGCCAGTGGCAATTCAAAGTGCACTATTTGGGAGAGCCCAGCTGGGTCAACATCAGCCTGGCCACAGGCAATGGCCAGGCTTCACCACAAGTCTAGAGCAAGGAATCAGCCTGTGTGTGGCTGTGAACACAAAGGTCCCTTGCTTGGCCCAGTGGGCAACAAAAGTCTACAGTCAATTCCACCAGTGTCCATCCCGGGGTAATCCCCATGGCAACATATTCAGGAGCGTGGGGCAGCCTGCTGCTGAGGGATGAGAATGGTCCCACCCTGTGTCCATTCTCCTTCCCACCCACTCTCATCCCCTCGCAGCAGCAGGCTCAGAAGAGTGGCAGGCACTCTTTTGCACAGCCTAGAGGTGGAAGCTTTAACTGAAACCCCTCCCGAGGGAAGAGGGAGGCTTGCATGTCCACGTTGATGCAGAGCAAGCCCAGCATGAGCTGCCGCTGGTACTCCTCCCACTTCATCATGACGTCAGAGACCGAGCGGTGGCTCCTCATCCACATGGGCAGCGCTTCACCACAAGGTGCCGGGGGCGAAATTGGCAGCTTCTGGGGCCCTCCGAGCTCGAGGTGGTAGTAAAGCCTGAAAGGCAAATACATGCAAAGACTCGGTACATGAGAAGACTTGAGTAGGTCACCAGACTAGAGCTCCACTACCACAGTCCTGTTTTGTACTAAACTGACTACATGATTTTAGTGAGAAATCTCTGTGTGCCCATTTTTCCCCGCTCACATCTCTCAGTTATTCAGACCATGAACTCTTTTGGGTAAGAATCACACCTTCGTACTTGGCTCACATCACAGCTGGGACCCGCTGACTGTTACTGAGAGACTTTCCTATTCTCATCCACACAACAGTCCTGCCACAGCCTCAAGCCAGGGGTCCAGTCCAGAAGCACAGGCACACACTCAGGCCCAAAGCACTTGGTCTCACTTGGAAACCCTCTGGTGTTCTCTGGGCACCATATTCCCTCCCCACAAAAACCAGGCTTGAGGTAGAAGAGGCCATTTGAACACAAATACTTCTTGGAGATCCTGGACCAGCAAATGGAACAAAGACACTTCTGTCTTCCAGAAGGAGCATGAAATAAGCTGGCATACTGTTTTAATCAGACTGACTTTAGGCCACGTCCCCCATAATAGGGGACAACTAGACTTTGTCCCCTATAATGGGACAAAGGAAGAGGACCATGTGCTGAGTCTATCCAACAGTTAATGAAGCCAAGAAACCCTGGACTAGATTTGTATTTCAGCCTAAGTGCTAAATCCTTCTGGTCAATTTGTGCCTTATTTGCTCTGCTCCAGTGGAATAGAGTCTCTAGAATTCAAAGGTGTAAGGGGAAATGAAGGGCTCCTCCTGAACAGTGCTCTGAAGAAAAGCAGCCACACCTGGCTGAAAGATGGCTGCCCAGTTTCTTCTTGGCTTTCTTCACAAGATAGCTGCAGATTTCTGTCATCTGCTCCCTCATCCATCTTATATCCTCAGGGATATCTGGGAGCCATTCCAGCAACCTGTAAAGAGACAGGAGACAACCATTAGCTGGGCCACACAAGGGAATATGATTAAAAGAGCACCAGTTCCAAAGTCTCTCTTAAGGCTCAAAAATTTATCACCATTTTCTGGGGCAAGTTCTAGCACACAGCAATCTTCCTTCAAGTTAGAAGTAGTGGCTGTAACTAAATGACATAGGAAAAGTTTGGGGTTCTTAGTTTTTCTGGTTTTGCAAGGGTTTGTTTGGTTGTTTTTTTTTGTCTGGTAAATGTCAAGAGCTTCTTCCCCAGGAATACCAGCAGTGCAGAATTACTGCTGGTATTCCTGGGGAATCCTGCTCTCTGGCCATTCAGCTGCCCAGCTGCACCAAATACCTGTCTGCACTGGGAAGAGCAGCACTGAGGGACCAGCCCAAGGCTCACCTGACAGTGAAGGAGACTGCAGACTCCAGAGGCAGCATGTAGGGGACCATCATGGCCGTGGCCACACGCACAGGCAGCATGTTGCTCAGGCCAGTCAAGAAACTTCTTCTTTCAGCACAAGCCTCCACGAGAGCTGAAGGCAGAAGAAAACGTGTTTGAATATCCCCAGAAGGACACTCTTTTCTTGTCATACCTCAAAAGTTACTCAGCCTGAGGCAGCTACCTCCCACTTCTAAGGAAGTCTTGCTCAGGTTAGTAATTCCCTGAGCAGAGCTAAAACCAGCAGTTTTCACCTTTATCAGACTCTAAAGGAGTGAGCAGCAAGACCCTCTCCTCTCCTTACCATGCAGAACACTGTCAAATGAATCAACCTCTCCCAGTCCAGCCTCCACAGTATGAGCCACAACTTTATCTGAGACCCCCCCCCCCCCCAATCCATCTAACCCTCAGCAGGTGTCTTTTCAATCCCTGGGCATAACCAACCCCAGCTATAAACAATAACCACATACCCCAGTAATCTTCTGAGGCAGACCAGGCAGCACAGGAAGACTGATTACCTGTGATCTCTCCCTTTGAATCATACCTTGGTTCAGTCTGGGAGGCAAGTGTTCCAAGATATGCTCTTCAACAACAGCAAGGGCAGTGTTGTCCTCTACTTGGTCCTCAGCTTCTGTTTCTTCCTCTTCCTTCTCTCCTGGAGGTGCTTCTATGGCAAGGAGAGGACGGGCAGGACTTGGACGATGAAGGAGACCTGAGAAGAGAAGTTATTCTGTAAGGATGACACAAACCAGCTGCCCTGCCTGGCCTTTGGAGTGTCAGTCCTTGCTTCACCCTAACTCCTCTCAGGCTGAGGTCATGCCCAGCCTCTTTAGCTTACATCTCTTGTAATGCTTACCACAAGGAGCTACAAATCTTGCCGGTTTCAGTTCATTCTCTCCTTCCCCATCAGTTCTCACATTTCCCCTTTAAGTTCCGCAGGGTGCTGTTTTGCAGAGTTCTGTTGCTATAATCTGCCAGTCACCCATCTTGTAGGCAAGATTTCCCTCCGGCAGTGCAATCCCAGTTATCCCGGCCCGCATCACTGTCCACGGACACGAGGTGGCAGCAAGCACACACCCAGCGCTGCCGCGGCTGGAGGCAGGAGAGCAGCGCCCAAGTGTCCGGCAGCGCCACAGAGCCAGCTGCACACGGAGAGCAGCCGGGTGTCTGCAGGAGGTACAAATGGCACTGCTGCCCAGCAACTGTGCTGGTAACTGCCAAGGTCACGCTCCACCTCTCCTTCCTGTAGTGCTAGGCTCATTAATGACAATTCCATACCCTAGTATCTGAGGCATAGTTCAGTTCTTCCCTTCCTCCTTTCACATGCACCATCAAGCACTCTCAAAGCCAAGGCACAAAGTGTGGCACAGAACAGGCAAGTCAGTGCACCCTACAAACAGCCAGTGCCTTACCATTCCTCTTCAGGAAGTGCAGTGCGTCTCGATAGCCCTGCTTGCACATATCCCGCAGCACCTGTGGGCAGAGGAAGGAAAGGTTCATGTGGAAACTGGCTGAGCAAAGCTACCACAATGCTGGCTTCAGAGGAATTCTCCTGACTCCTGAGCTATCCCAAGAACAAGTCCCATTCCTGCTAGCCTTGCTCAGGCTTTGAGCAGGAATGGCAGGTACAGCATCAATACATTGGCTATGGGAATCACAGGACAATTTCAATTGGAAGGGACGCCTAGGATCCTACTGAAGTGTGGGCACAGACTGCAGCTACCCATCTACAGCTGATGCTGCTGTGGGCAGCCTTCAGTCAGTCACTCTGACAAGCAGCCCAGAATACTTCCCTGCAGATGCCAGGAAGCGCCATTGTGTTTGCAGATAAAGCCAGCTAAGACTAGAGAGGAGGTGGGGAAAAAACTTGCCCAAGTAATTCAGCACATGAATGCATGCTTATAGTTTACAGTGAGCCTGACTTCCAGGCAAAGACTACTCCAGAGAGAGCAACATGAGAGCTTTCCAAGCAACTGCTACCACCTGAATTCCAGCTATTCAAGCAGAAAAAGAAGACAAACCCTTGTGCAGGTGCTCAAGGCTTAGCGAGTCACTGGGTTGATAATGCCAAGATTAAAGATAAAGCACAAGATACAAAACTAACAGTGTCTGGAATCTTCTCCTGCCGAAGTGCACACAGTTTAGCCAGTGCCCAAGATCTGTGGTCCCCAAGTTCAGGTGTGGCCAGGAAACTCACCTGTGGCTCTGGAGGAAACAGGGCCTTGGAGAGGCGGTAGAGGTTGTGAAGGTTGAACTGGATGCTTGTATTGGTGACTCTCAGCTCGTGCATATTTGTGGAACTGTCCCGTGGGCAGATATCGCTCTCTCCCGAGAAAGGAGACACTGTGATTGTGTTCTTCAGCTCATATTGGGGCAAATTGTCAGAAATCCCTCCATCAACGTATCTCTGAAATCAAGACAAATGCAGGAATCTTCATTCTCACAACTGAACAAGCAGCTATTTTACTCCTTTTCCTGTTTGTGCCAACAACTTGGGAAGGAATGGAATACATCCCCCAGCACTGGAGGAGTAAAAACCAGTGATAGCACAGCTGTGTTGTTTATAACAACTCCTTTTGCTATGTGCTTTTTCTTGGTTGAGTGTGCTGCTCACAAGTGTTCAGTAACAAAGGCATATTCACTTGTGTGACTTACAACTCCTATGTGGTCTGACTGCTGTCCAATTAAATAATAATACACATCAACAACTACCTGCAGTGCAAATTAGCATTGATCTAAGCTGTCACACTGTGACATTGTGCATTTTTCACTTGTGTTCAAAATGAATAAGCTCAGACACAAGTCCCCACTGGCAGAAGGTTTGTTACCTGTGAGTAAAACCACCTGATTTGTTGCTAGTGGGCTTATCAAGCAGCAATCCCAGCACATGCATACACATTGGGAATCCACCTGCTGTGATGTGATAACAGAGCACAAGGGATTTGGGTTTTGCTCTTAACAGGCACTCTCTTATCAGAGAATGTTCTGTACTTCTGTACCATAAACACATTTGTGTTACCCTTGCAGGAAGGGCAACCCCAGTAGTATGTTCTCAAAACATTCCTTGGCTACTGTAATTGCATAAGGAGCTGAGCAAGACGATCCCTATCACAGGTTTTGGCAGAGTAAGCAACATGCAAAAGATAACAGGAGAAGGATGTTGGCCAAGCCAAAAGAGAAGGAAGCTGGGGGTCTTTGCAGAGCAACAACTCCAGCTCTTGTGAACCTCAGTCACAGAAGAGTTCTGCTGGTTCCATACCAGGGTTGATCCTGCAATTTGCTGCCTGGATCTGTTTCCTTCCTACCCAAACACAAATCATGATACAGGGGCTATGCAGCCCCACTAGTAGCAGCTGTAAACATCTTTCAGCTCTGCTGGGTGAGAAGCTGAGCCAGTAGAGGCTAAACCCAGACAGAGCACAGAAATACTGACTGAAGGAGGAGGTGCTCCATTCTGCAGCCTGCTCCTTCTTGTTTCACAGTCAGACTGACCACCAACACTGCTCTTCTGCTGCACAATGCCCAGGAAAACATCAGATGTGTTGCCTCGAGGGTGCTTTGTACTTTGTTCTCTCTTGTTCTGCATGGCAGACAAGACAAGTAGAGAGACCTCAAGTAGCTTCTCTGGGCCTGGAGAACAGTTCACAGGCTCATGGGCTGAAAGCAACTAAATTCAGCTATAGCAAGCCAGCTGCCATTGATGCATCAGGGTCAGGGTGGACTGCACATTCCCTTCTTGGGAGGCAAACTAAACCTCAGGGCTACCTTTGGAAAGAGCCTACAGCTTCATGGGAGAGAGCTTGTGATTACAGTGGTAGGCTACAGCAGCCCAAACTCAGAGCACAGGACATTTTATCCTCATGGCAGCCCTTGCTCACCAAACACTGTGTCAAGACAGGCACTTAGAGACTCCTACACCACCTGAACTTGGACAGTGAAGAAAGTGGAAGGACATGACAGATTAAACTCAAGGGTAGAGTACATCCTCTCAGAAACACTAACACAGCTTGCTCACAAGATGTTTTCTGACAACAGAGATGCTAACAATCAACAGAAGTCTCTCCCCCTGCTAAAGTGGGCACCAGTTCCCTAAGCCTAAAGCAACCACAGCAAACTGCCATTGTCATCCTCTTCCCAAAGCTGCTCCACTGAGAGCCAGACTAGGCACAGCTAGAGCTGGAGACGTCTGCCTGACTCTCTTTGCAAGGATGAGATTCCAACATGCTGAGTGGGACCAGAACAGAGCAAAGCAGGCAGCATGCACTTTTGTTTCAAGAAAAAGGAGGTAAGCTTTAGTGCTGGACAACACTAGTTTTGCAGTAAGGATGCAGAGGACATGTTTCCCTGAGGGTGGCAGCATGATTGCACAGATGCCATTAGAAAAAAGGCTGAACTGCAGCAGAGCTGACAGGCAAACCCTTCTGACTCCATGGAAATCCAGGAGTACACCTGCACACCCACTCTCTGGTCCACTGCTTCCAAGCAATGCTGATTAACATTCCTCAGTAAAGTTCAGCTGCACTTTAGATTTGCCTGAACCTCCAGCAGCCCAAGTGTAACCACTCTCCAGCCTCCTGCAAAGCCCAGAACAGCCCAAAGCCACAGGCTGGAGCCACCAGCTGCCTGCAGGCACACACAGCAGCAGCAGCTTTAGGGGATGGTTCATAGACTGGGGTGCCCACTTCCATTCCCATATCATGCACAGGGCCCCTCACTAACATGATTTGACAACCAGCTTTGTGACCCTTGCCAGGGATTCATCTCACCCACATGCTGCACACAATTCACAACTACTGTGTGTGCTGGCAGGTCAGTTACTGACTTTTCCATTTCTTAATATTTAGGTTGTTGGGGTTTTTTAACGCCCCTGCCGATCTCTATCATCCACTCCATGAGACTACCAGATCTCAGAGAAGTGAACACTGGAAAAAAATTAGGAGGAAGGCAAAATATGGATTTTGCACCTTGCACACAGTAACACTGCCTTGAAAAAACATTGCCTTGTGCCAGGCCAGTCAGTTTATTCTGTGACAAACACAGTCACCACAGGCATGCTAAGAATTATGCATTTCTGTTTCAAAACCATTTCCCAAGTTCATACCCAACCCAAATTAGCCTCTCACCTCATCTGCAATCCCCCTTCAGAGCCATGCTTTTCTGGGGAAGAGGTAGGAATTAAATTTCTTCATCTTATATTTCCTCCCCACCTTTTCCCATGAGAAGTTATCCCTCAGTGTGCCAGGGCAGCTGCACATTCCAGAAACCCTGATGTTGTACACAGTTTTGGAATGGTGAGATTTTTTCCTGATGCACACTGATCTTAACTGGCCCCCAAAGAGGTGCAAGAGCCAGTGCTATGGTCCTACCAGCTGAAGGGAAAAAGCCCTGGCAGCAGCTGCTGAGCAAATACCAAACCATTACTGATTCTGTCACTTCTCTGAAGGGCTGGATAACAGTGGACATCTCCTCCAGGTCATTTCCCTGACCAACATGCTTGCACAAGACAAAACCAGCCAAGCTGTGTATTATGCAGGAGCAAAACTGACCTCACTTTTAGGACACAGGTAGCAATCAGAGCAGCTTTGATGCTGTGCTCTGACAGACAGAGGCATTTTGGTCAGATCACTTATGGTAAATCAGGGCACATATTTTATAACAGTTCTCCCTCTCACTTTTGACTGTGTAGTTTGCAAAATCCCTGCCCCTTAATGTGTTCATTAACCTGTGTAGACAAGGGAAGCCAAGTTCAACCAGGACACCCTTAAAGCATGACTGCAATATCCAGAAATGCTGCAGCTCTGCACAGCTTTCATGTATTTTCATTTCTAATATGCAAACACATGATAGAGGGAGAGATTGCTCTTGAGCAGCCTTGGACACAATTCTAACAGAGCTCTGGCATGCAGCAGAGCATTATTGTCAGAGAAAGGACAGGAAGAATTCCACAGAAGAGAGGGCCAGTATCCACCCCACTAGTTAAAGCCCTGCAGAAAGTGTCAGGCACATGGGAGAGGGACTACACTCATGACTTTTATCCTGGGCCAAACTTCTTTTCATATGCAGACAGCTGGAGCCTCAGTGATGCAAAGTGTTGTACCATGCAGCCATGACAACACACTGCTGAGCCAGCCAGCCCTTCCCCAGACTGTATATGTTAAATCCACTGGTCTTCAGGACATTTATAGTTGACTGTGTGCAGCAGTGGAAAGAAGGCCTATCCACTGCTGGAAGTTGTTTATTTGGGAATTTCTCGTGTCTCCTCAGATAAATGCTGCCAGCAGGCAATAACATTGTCAAAACCTACTCATTAGTATGTAATTTAATGAGGGATCATCTTAGACTCTTACTTACCACTCCACGCAAGGTTGGAGGTATCAGCCCACAGTAGACAGGGATAAAGGTGCTGCAGATACAGGCCTGAGGGAGAAAGAGATCCAGAATCCAAGAATCAGATCAAAGCCTACTGAAACTATTACTGTTCTCAGAACACCCTGCTGGCATGTGCTGACAATCACACTCCAGTACTAAGGACACTTGGAGACCAAGACAAAACAAAGCTGCACGCAGCTCCTGCCCAGCCCACTGCAGCAAGAGTCCATTCACCTGGATCAGTTCCTCCTTGGAATTGAAGTCTGACAGGATCACGTTCTCCCCATCAGAGACCCGTGTCAGGGAAATACCCAAACGTCCTGCTGCAACCTCGTGCCCATTGTCCGGCACCATCTTGGACACAGACATCCGAATGGTTTTCACCATGTTGAAAGAGGGGTGCAGCGGGCCCAGGAACCTCTTCCGGGCTTCTTTTGACGCCCGAATAATGCTGGCACCGGCCTCACCTGCAACAAGACAAATGCACCATGAAATGCTACCAAAAGCACTCTCCTTTACAAAACTAGGCACAGGAAAGCCTCATTCCCAGCCTTCCCCAGAGGTTCCTCCCCATTGGTTAATACACAACTCAAACCAAGAGGTTCTTTACAGGGGATGTTAGAGAAGTCATGGAGGTCTTCTGTCTTGGCCCTCACACACCTCCATCAAAAAGAACCACTCTCCTCTTACTTATGTTTTATGAAGTCAAGAAAGATCATGTGCATCTGACTAAGGCCTCACACTGTTTTTTAGATCCTGTTGCACTGGACAATTCAGGTGAAAACAGACTGAAAAAGAAAACAAGACTGATACTTCAACAGCTTTGAGCTTATAGATAAATCCACTTCAAAACATATTCCAATAAAACTTTTCTAGTAAGCACCTTTTTCCTGACAGGAAAACTAATCATCAGCCAGTAAGCAGAAGTGCCAGAACAGGAAAGCTGCTGCTTTCCAGCTAAGTGATCCCAACTGCTGTGAGTGTCAGCCACACCTCAAGTGAGCAAGAGGAACTAACGCTCCATTAGGGAATCGGAGACTTAGTTCCTCCTGCAGAGCCTCTGGTGTTCCATCCCTTCCATATCCAATTCCACAGCACTAAACTAGGCCCTGATAGCAAGCAGGACTTGTGAAGGAATGTTTGCTTTACCCTTTCACACAGTGACCCAGCTGGATTTGAGAAGAGGAGACATCCCAGCTGCACAAAAGGGAAGGTATCTGCTAAGCCCATTATCTCAGTCACTCAGAGTCCCATCTGGCAAGTACATCAGAGCTCTCCAATAAGAAAAAAGGGATAGAAGGAAGCAAAAATACAAAACTACAGCATCCAGCATTTTCCACTGACTGACTGATGCCTCTACACACATCCAGCCATGATGAGATCCAATAGTTCCTCTAAGTACTAGCTAATCACTGCATTCCAAGGAGTGTCAGGAACATACAAGTGAGAAGAATGAGGGAGAGAATTAGAGAAACCAGGACAAAAGAAGCATGCTTTTACAAATGAAGACTCCTCTCCAATCAAACTGAAGGTCATTTCCTGGAAAAGGACAAAAGACAACCAGTTTAAGCTATCTGCAAGTCTCCTCATTTTGCTCTCCCACTCAGTTTCTCAATTGCAAAAACAAGGCAGCAAAATGAAAGAACTCAAGTTAGACCCAGGTTAATAAATGCAATGGAGATAAGAGCAACAACCCTCAATGCTATGTTGACACATCCCAATCTTTTGCAATACACGTGTGCCAGCAACATGTTTTCCATCAATGCAGCCTGGGAACGTGATTCTGGGCTTAGGAAACCCACCAACACCAGTGGCTCAAGCACGCAGAGATCTGGACCCTTGAACATGACCAGATTCTGAGGTCAGGATTTTAGGCACTGTGAGGTAGCAACTTAGCAGAAAAGCCAAAGTTCCCCCTCTGAAGCAATTTTTAGCCCTGTAATCCCAGTCTTCTGTCCTAGAGCAATGTTTAGCAGTCTAATTCTGATCTTATTTACTCAATTAGCAGTAAGCCATTGAGCCCAGCCTGTTTCAGATAGTAGCCACACGGTTCAACATCCTTCCTAACATGGAAGAAGTCAGCCCCACAGAAATACACTTTATAATCACTGAGACATTAGCACTCAAAATGCACCCTAAGACACCTTCATGTCTGCCAAGGGGAGGAAAAACACCAAAAGAAACTGCAATCAAGCAAAAATTGAAGGGATCCCAGCCCAGCACCTTACTCACACCACCCCATAAAGGAAAATCCTCTGCACTGAGTGCCTTGCAGGGAATTGTTGGCTTGGTTGAAACCCCCATTGTGGGGGGTGAGTGTTGAGCCTGCAGCTGAGGAGAGACCCCTGTGTGGAAAAGCTGTACTGGGGAGAGTGTGGATTATCCAGGAGATGGTGCTTGCTTAGGGAATGATGCTTTCAGGCTTGGCATCTCAGCGTGCAGAAAGATGTGACAGCTGAAAATACTGAAAACAACTGCAACTAAATGGAGGTATGACTGAACAAAAAATGTGAGCTGGAAGGGTTTGGGTTTTTAAACAAAAACAGGAGAGCAAAGTCCTGACTATGCCAGGAAACAGCATTTGAGGGGAGCCCCGAGTTGCAGCTGCCTGCTCTATCAGTGTTCATACCCAGGAGGGCAAAGTGAGATTATTGCTAATTAGCAAGTTCATTCTTTGAATACTTTCTGGATTTTTTTTTTTTGTTTTGGGTTCCTTTTATACATGTGTGCATACATGCATACCCACAGGAGCTCTGAGGCACTTCTGTTTAAAGACATCTGTGATTCTGTTGGACTTGCTGAATCACTTGCACCAAAGCTGGGTGTGGAATTGCTCTGTGGGAAGGCTTGGGCACAGGGTGACCTGCAGTAGCACCAGCTTTCCGGGAAATAAGGCCAGCTGAGGGGTCAGCCAAAGAAGCCAGGTTTATGTAGCAAGATCCATGACAGATGACAAGTCCTCTTGGAAATATATTTGGGAGGAGAGAAAAGAAGTGATAGTGTTTTAATCCTGTTACTACTAGAAGTGCTATTCCAGGAAAACCAGCTCAAGTTCTGTTTGCAGCCCGTCAGAGGGAGCAGCTGAATTAGAGGCAGTCAAGAGAGACAACCCCTACAGGGGTCAGCCAACAGCTCTCAATTATTTCTAGGACTAGTCCAGTGCCAGATGCAGCCCTTAGGAAAGATTCTCATTGTTTGTAATGGATCTAGTGATTCAGGACACAGAGTCATGTGAAAAAGCTGAATTAAATTTGTATTTCCTTATTGAGGTACATACCACGGGGCAGAGGCAATCCCTAGCAGTTAGCAGTGTTTGCTGTGAAAACATTTCATTCTTTTCACACCAACCAATTAATTCAACACCTTTCCCTCTATTACTAAGCCAATATTCCTCAAAAGTGTTGCATTAATATATGTGGAATATTTCATTTTCATTAGGAAACGCACATTCCTCCTTACCCCACCCCCAGCAGTGCCCCACTGGGTGTTGTTATACATAAACCCAAGTACTGCAGGGCTATTGCCCTTATCTGAATTTCAGCTGTGATGACGCAAAGGAGCATCACTCAGTTATGTCCTGAAACACCCTAACATGTCCCTTGCCAGAAAAGACAGGCCAGCTGTCCCCACTCTGCTGACTGTCATCTGCAATGGCCATAAGGGGCAAGGGAGTGGCACCCATGGGAAAAGCCTGAAGGCAGCTGCTAGCTCACACTTCATTTTTAAGCTGTATCAATCCAGCCTCACATTATTGACATAGGTTTAGACTGCTCCCTTTAACAACTGACTTTCATCTCTATCAGTCATGCTCAACTCCAAAATAAGCCAGCAACTAAGTCTGTACTGCCTGGCAGCCCCTAAACTCTAACCTGAAAAGCATTCAAGCAGCACATGCTATTTATAACTGTAAACAAACAGCCCAGCAGAGCAGCCTGCTGTTACTCTGCCTCTGGGACAGCAGAGCTGAAGATGGATCACCTAAAACTGTTGTTGGCCAGCAGTTGGGGAGACCCTTAACTGCTGCCAAGAGCTGTGGGCTGAAACACGAAGGCTACTCCAAACCTGTGCAGTGCACAAGGACCATCACAAAGCCTAAACACTGCTCGACAGGAGGGGTGACAAGTGGAGAAGAAGGGTCTCTTCAGACCCATATCAGCAGCAGGGCTTTGGCACCAGGGGCACCATGATGGTCTCCTGTTGAGCCACATGTTAGACCATATTGGTATCTATTGGCCAGCCAGTAAAATCACAGATGACCCATGAAGTATTTCAAATGGAAAAAAATGCCCAAGACACAGACAAAAATAGGAGCAGAGCAAGCTAAATAAGGGGAAGGGCATTCTGAATATTCAGCCCTGCAGCTCACCCATGACACTGCAGGTCTCTCTGGGAGAGCTCTGTGTCAGCACAAAGACCACCTGTGCCAGGGACATTCCCATTCCTGCCTAGTGCAACAGTAAATACGATACAAGCCCAAAGGACAAGTTCTCCAGCAGGGATGGAGAACAAAGGACAGTTCAGAGAGCTGGTGGGTGTAGGGGCAGCGCTCTGTCCCTGCTGGCAGGAGGCACAGAGAGGTCACACCCCAGACTGCAGATGCCATAATGTGCCTGGACTAGTGGGGGAGGCAGGAAACTGCAGCTCCTCACTAAACCTGCTTCTCATTCAACTCCAACAAATGGACTCCTTCCTACACATCAGCAACACTCCTCCCTCCTCATTCCCATTACCCAGCTAAGGCTCCAACTGGCCCAACACACCAACAGCTTTGAAAGGAAGACAAGTAGCAGAAGGAAGCACAGGTACTTTTGCTATTCCCCCAGGCCCTGGACAGCCCCACCCCTTGTTCAGTTTGGAATCACACGACCAAGGTATTTTGACTGTAAGATTTTCAGGACAGGAGTCCTGCCAGCCCTGTGTACTATAACCAGGGACCTCATTCCAGAACTCCTTCAGTTCTGCTCAGCTCTCTGTTCCAGGGATGTTTGTGTGATACTCAGCACGGATGTCCCTTTCAAGAGTCCCCAGCTAAACCAGCTTTCAATGCAGCTGGTTGCTGAACACTGCTGGAATTGTCATTATCCCACTGCTAGATCCCAGTCTGGATGTAAATTTAGGAATAGGATGAGCCAGAAGGAATTTATTAGCATGATCTTCCCCAACATTATCTCGGTTGCCCGTCTCTTGCTGTTTCAGCTGTTCTGTATCACATATGTGCAAGAGCTAAAAGTCAGTATCTGACAATGAGCAGAGGTTTCAGGAGAGCTGTTCCATGCTCTTCCAGGGCACATCCTTAGGCTGCTCCAGCTCAGCATGCACAGCTCCTGCACTTGCTCCTTTTCTAAGTACCAAGAGTAAGCAATGCACCTGCTTTCCTGCCTGGCCTCTCCCAGGAGATGATATAGTCCTAATTACAACACACTCCTGTCACCAGCCCAAAAGAAACCTACAAAGCTATAAACAGAAT